TTAAAAGTTTTTGACCTTATCAATAAAAATTACCAAAGTTTACATTTGTTTGTTTATTTGTGGTTCTAAAGATATAGGAAACTCCTAGAACATATGTGGACTTTTATGTTGTTCTCCCCTTGGCATTTGTCACAACATCACAGATTCAGAGGCAGGAGGGAGCTTGAGCCATCACAGAATTTCAGAGTTGAAAGGCAATTCAGGGCCCATCTAGTGTACCCCATACTCCTACTCCCTAAACTAAAGAATTCCTTTTAAAACATCCCCAACAAGCATTTTCCCAGCCTTGCACAGAAGTCCTCCAATGAAGAAGTCTTCTTTAGAGGCAGCACATTCCATTTTTGGATATCTTTTGTTTTTTAGGAAATTATTTCCTTTTGTTTGTAGACTATATTTATTCTCTCTATATGTATGTCTATATGGACTTTTAAGCTTTAATAGCTGAAAACTACACTAAGGCTTGTGGGATGTACTATATACTCGTTATCTCCTTCATTAAGAATGTAAACTCCTTGAGTACAAGGATTGTTTGGTGCTTTGTGTTTTCATCGAGCACCATGCATGGTTCCTGACACGTAGCAGTTACTTTCTTTATACTTGTTGATTAATTAGTTGACTATATCAATCTTCAATTTGTCTCTTGGCAACTCTCACTCACTGCTTCTTGTTCTGTGTTCTGGGGCCAAAAAGAACATTCCTCATCCTTCCTCCACATGCCATCCCTTCCTACATTGGCAGAGAGCTATGAGTGGCATCCTGGTTTAGTGGATAGAATGTTGGACATGGAGAAATGAAGACTTGAGTTCATTGCTTGCCTCGGGTACTTAATAGGTAGTTGACCACAGAAAAATCATTTAACCTTACAATGTGAGCATGTAGTACCTACTTCATAGGTTTCTTGTGAGAAGATATTTAAAACACTATGCAAACTTTTAAATCTTTTTAAACATCAACTACTGTAATTTTACAGGTGAGAAAAATGAGACCTTAAGAGGGGAGGTGATTTGTCTATGGTCACATGGCCGACAGAGCCAAAACTGGAACTCAGGTCCTTTGACTTCAAATCTTTGTACTAATGACAGTAACATTTACATACCACTTTAAGGTCTGTAAAGCATTTTACCATTCTTTTACATTTTGATCCCTATGAGATAGGCGCTATTTTTGTCCCCATTTTACCTATGAAAGTGACTTGCCCAGGACCACAGAGCCAGCATGGTCAGAGACAAGTCCATGGAAGCTCAATCACCAGAAAGACAGCTGAGAGGTAGGGCATTTAATGTGCTGAAGTCGGCCACTCAGAATGCATCTGCTAAGGCATTCTGGGTTCAGGATCGTTGTACAAGGAATATCCAAACCAATATGAAATCACTGAGGGTTTGAAGCAAGGGAGAAGGGTATGGTGTAAACAGCTTTAGAAAAAGAATAATTCAGAAGGACCCAGCTGGTGATTCAAAGGAGCTGGATAATCTGTACTTCCTTGCTCGAAGGGAAGGGGAAGGGAAAGATGAGGATAGCATGTAGCAAGAGAGGAAACATAATGCGTTTTGTGCTTTGAAGAAAGAGAACTCATCTTCCTTTTGTTTCCAACAATCTGTCTTTCAGAAGCTTCTAGTCATTTATTTTTCTCTCACACAATATGCACTGAATCATTTCTTTTCAAACCTTGCCTGATCTTCCAAACTTGGCACCTATCCGGAGGGCAGGGCTATTTTTTTCCTGTCTTACATAAGACAAGCGATCTGTTCCTGTCCCAGGTGCATTTTTTATACCATGTTTTAAATTTAAGACATTTAAGGATTATGTCTTAGTTATTTTGGGGGAACAAAATAGTTACCTTGACAATGAATGTCAAGAAAAATTGTAAAAGAGAGTGAGCTGTTATCACGGAGCCAGGAAACATTTTTGACAGATTTACAGTGGTTTTATTATTATTGTTCTTATTTTAAAATGTGAAAATCAGGCCAGAATCTTAAGTAGAGCTACAAAAAGTCAGCCCACAATACTTAGCATGATATTGCTTTTTGTAACAGGTAGGAAATAGTATATAGAGTAGCTGCCAGCAAGAAATTAATTTATAGAGCAGGAGGGCTCAAGGTCACAACATAAGAAGTCAAAGGGCATTGAGCTAAAAGTCCCCTCAGGGAAGTCCCAGTTCAACTCACTCATTTACAAACGAGGAAACCATGGCCTGGAGAGGGAGAGTGACTTGTCAAGATCTGAAAATATATTCTGATAATACATTCACAAACAATCCGAGTGATTAAGGAGAGGCAAAAGCATCAGGAGAAACCAACAGGGGCTTTCCAAGGAACTCTGATAGGTAAAAAATATGTGAGAAGCACATGCACGCACAGGACAAATACAAATAGGAGGAGGGATAAGGATTTATGCAGCACTTACTATGTGCTAAGCATTTTAAGAGCTTTACAAATATTATTTACTTAGTGCAGTGCCTCGTCACTTTAACTCTTTCAGTTCCCTCCCTCCACCCCCAAAGCCTTCCTTTAGAGAGGGCTGAGAACTTTCCAAGTAACTCAATTTTCCATCAGCAGCTCTGCTTGGCTGCCCCTGCAATGGGTACCCTGTGATTGCTCTTCCCCTTTCTTCACCCTGTGCTTAGCACAATTCCTGGAACACAGTAGGTGCTAAATAAATGTTTAATGAATTGAATTGATTTAATTTTGTTCCTCACAACAATTCTGGGAGGTAGATGTTATTGAGTCCCATTTTACAGTTGAGGAAACTGAGGTAGACACAGAGTAAGTGATTTGTTTGAGGCTGGATTTGAATTCAAGTCTTTCTGACTTCAGGCGCAGCATTCTATCCACTGAGCAACCTAGCTGCCTTTAGATGAGACACAACACAGACAACGATGCCAGGAAAGCTGAAGCCCCCATTGAGTCAAGGATTGTGGAAAAAAAAAATTCTAGACAAAGTGTATGTGTGTGTGTGTGTGTGTGTGTGTGTGTGTGTGTGTGTGTGTATACAATAAGAAAAGGAAAGGATAAGGTTACTATTTGGGGCTTCTACTGTAATGTTCACAGATAATAATGGTAATAATAACAACTCACATTTATATACTACTTTGTGGTTTACAAAGCTCATGCATTATAATATCTCTATGAAATGGATAGTGAGAATATTTTAAGCACCATTTTGCCGGTGAGGAAACTAAGGAATCAGGCAATTAAATGATGTATCCTCAGTCCCATGGCTTTTATGTGTCAGAACCAAGATTTCAGGCCACGACCTTTTTCTATCTTACACACATTATCTTTTTAATTTACTGTTGTCTCTCAGGGACAAAGAATCAGCCATTAAAATTTTTTTTCTGATGATATACATGAGTTCAAATAAATGATATTTACGTGAATGTTTTGCCTTTGTGTCACATATGGGAAATTTAATTTTCCCCATGGAAATTCAAATGAGGCTTGAAATAACTGTATATCATATACATGGTTGAAGAAATTAGGGATGTTTACCCTGAGGAAGAAAAGACTTGGGAGAGAGGGACATAATTTTTACCGTGAAGGGTTAGAGGCAGCTAGGTGGTAGAGGAATAGAGTTCGGAACTTGAAGTCAGGAACATCTGAGTTCAAATCTAGCCTCAGACATGTACTAGTTGTGTGTCCCTGAGCCAAGTCTGTTTGCTTCAGTTTCTTCAACTGTAAAATTGGGATAACAATAGCACCTACCTCCCAGGTTGTTGTGAGGATAAAATGAGATGATATTTATAAATCACGTATACAGCGACTGGCACCTAGGAGGTGCTACATAAATGCTTATTCTCTGTTCCTGGCTCCCTTATCATGTGGAAGAGGTTTATTCCACTTGGATCAATTGATGGATGTTCTAAGATGATAGAAGTCAACTTCCAGAATGAGCTTTCTAACAGTTAGATTTATCTAACAAAGTGATGGGCTGCTTTTGAAAGCTTTGAATTCCCCATGTTATAGGTGTACAAATGGAAGCCTCATTACCTCCCCTATCATAACAAGAGAACTCAGTAGAGAGTTTTAATACATAACCTATGAGGTACCTTTCAATTCTAAAGTTCTGTGCTGGTCATGGGTCAGGGGATGACGTAGATGTTGAGAGTAATTCCACTGCCTGAACATGCCCCATGCTTTCCCACCTCCATATTTTTGCTCACACCATTTAGCAGGTCTGGCATTTCTGTCCTTCCTCCATTTTCCTACTGTTTGAAATCCTTCTCATTCTTCAACATCAAATGCCCAAATGTGACTCCCTCTATATCTCTTTCCAATCTTCCCAGGCAGAAGTAAGGCTCGGAGTGGTATGGTAGAAAGAGTGTATCAAGGAAGGTATGAGTTTGGATTCTGGTTTTGTCACTTACTAATTGTGTAACCTTTAGCAAATTACTTTTTTTCAGAGCCTTAATTTCCTCAGTTATAAAATGGGCATAATAATACATATAACAACCTCCCTCATAGGTGGTTGAATTACTTAACTCACAGGGTGAAAATATTTGGTAAAATTTAAAGCTTAAGAAAAGCCTCCCTCCTTTGGACTCTGTCATTCTTATAAAGTGAAAGATCAACATAAAATTTGAATTTTATATGATAAGAACAATGGTAACTTTGACTTCAATTTTTTTTTAAATACAAAAATTCAGACAACTTAATGGAATTATAAAACTAAAGTTGGATTTGTTCTTAGAGGCCAGATCTAGACTAGTCTGTTCTCTTGACAGATGAGGAAACTGAGGCCTAGGGGAGTTAAGTGACTTGCCCAAGGCCTGACCAAGAGGAAGCATCAGAGGTGATGTTTGAGGCCAGGTTCTCTGACTACAGAGAAAGTCCTCTTTAAAAATTGTCATGTTGTCTTCTTACATTATCCAATTGTCCAAAATAGGCTTCCCATGCTCCATCCTGCTATTCTCAGCTGTTTTAATCTTCATAGTTCCAAATAAGGACAATCTGCAAAGCCAGGATTTCCCAGGTATATAAATGCCTGCTTTTAGTCATGCTCACCATTAGTAGTCTGTCTCCTACTTGCAAACGTCCATCTTTCTGTGCTGCGCCTCCATCTATAATTTTAGTAACATAAATACTGTTGTCTCCAGGGATGTGTTGATTGCCCACACCTCCTGCGATACTGAAGCCTAGACCTATGGGAGGAAAAAGAGAGAAAAAAAGTGACCTTTTATGTAGTGTTTATTTAATAAAAACAATGTAATTCTTTGACAGTTTTCTGAAATGGTTGCACATCCATTATGGCATTTTTCCAATAATGGGCATTCTACTAGGCTCTTTCCCCCTCTTCCTTTACTTCAAGAAGTTGAGGATTTGTGATGGCTACTCCTAATGAGACCAAGGTCAAAAGTTCAATACTGTATGGGCCAATTAACTTTGCTATATTCTCTAGCCACAGTCTATGTCTCTAACCTCAGCTAATCATTTCGCAAGCCTTTCATTTTGGTCCAAAGCAGGATTAGGCAAGAGAATACAGTTGGACTGCATAAATCTCTCACTTTTATTTGGAAAAGAATTGAAGGATGATCATGCTGGTAGTGGTCAATATAGTTCTCTTCATATACAAATTAACTATGACCAATCATTATTTTTATGCTTCAAAAAAGTCAAATATGGAAATGTAGGCTTATTCTGATAGAGAAGCAATATATGTAGTCTTAGACATTCCTGAATGAAGAACATGAAGGGAGAGGAAATCTCCTAAAGCTTCCGACCATTCCTTTGCATAGGTAAAACATTTAAGAAATCTGACCAGAAACCGGAATTCCCTTCTGGGGACCCAGTGGCCTGATTGATGGTTACCTCAGTCAACCACTCAATGTAGGCCCAGCTCTAGCCATATTCTCACTAGCTTTCTTGCCGTCACATTTGTTTCCTGAGTACTCATCCTTCATTCCAGTTCTGTAACCACAATCAAATCAACTCTTTCATTATCCCTGGAAAGGATGTGTCAATCTCTCTTCCCCCCTCCCCCCCACCTCTCCCCCACCCCAGCTCCACTTACCATTCCTCTAACTTTCCGAAGCAAAATATTCCCCTCCCTGTTCATCATTCCCCTATATATTTTGTCTCCCCCTCCATTAGAATGTAAATTTTTTGAAGGCAGGGACTATCATTGCTTTTGTATCTATATCTTCAACATAGTACAACGGCACTTAATAAATTATTTTCATTCATTCCTTCAACAGTATTTCAAAGAGAGTAAGAGAGAAGAAACAAGCGTCCTTCAGATTTTTTCCTTCCAAAGTCACATTGTTATGTATCTCTATGTCTGTTTCCTTCTTATTATTCTTTATAGTTACTGCACTTTGCTAAGTAAGCAGGTTAATGGACATTAAATGGCTATTTGTTACATACACACCAAAACTGAGAAAAGAAGAAAAAGAAGAGGGAGAGGAAAGGAGGATGAGAAAAGAAAAACAGGAAGAAAAGGGGGAGAAAGAAGCAAAGGGGGGAAATAAGGATTTTGAATTATAGAATTGACTATTTTCATAATATCACAGACAGATGTGAAAACATTTAAAACAAATCTTCCTGCTTCTGTATTTTATTCTGAAGTCAGAACAAAGCATAAAATTTTCAGTATCATTTTAAAAGTAACTGTATAATTTTGTCAAATTACAGATAGAAAATAATTATTCCATACCTAAAAAAACTAAGATAAGCTCTAAGTTAAAGGAATGGGTCTAATTGAATTTTAAAGCACACGAATGACAGCATTTAAATAGTTCTTTTTTTCCTTTTTCCAAAAAAGACAGCTTCAGCACCATATTTACCATAAATATTTTCATTTTATTTCACAATCACTCTAACATTTGGTAACTAACTCAAGCAAGAAGCTTGACTGTTTATCTGCATGATATACAAGACCCTACTTAATGATCAACACCTATTTGCATTCTAATTGATTAATAAGGCCCGAGAGAATCAGCAAAGCTAAGTGCATAGAGGACTGACCTTGGAGCCGGAAAGACCCAAGTTCAAGTCACGGTCCTGTTAAGTGCTGATTGACTGATAGCCTCTGTGATCCAAACTCCTCTGGCATCATCTCTATCAATAAAGCACCCCAGGTAATTCTCTGAAATAAGTGACTGGCAGTACTTTTCAGGCTTAAGTTTCTTATTCCAATAAAATCACAGGTCAGGCCTCATATTTTTTTGAAGGCCTTAATGGATCAATTTTTGTAGAGTGAAAGGTCCAAAATAAAGGGTCACATGGGACTCTGTGTCCATGTCAAAGTCTTGGCTTTCTGTTCATGAAACCTGTTCTGAGGCAGCTAGTGGTGCAATGGATATAGCCTGGGCTTGGAGTCAAGAAGACCGGAGCTCATATCCCACCTCTCCGCCTCAGACACTGACTCACTATTTGAACTGGCCAAGGCTCCGAAGTTAGTCAGAAGTTGTCAGAATCATCAGTCAGGCTGTCTGGTGATCTCTGGACAGACAAGAAGTGTTAGAAAGAATGAAATACGAACTAAGAGACCCCTCAAAATAATTTCTATGAAGATACTGTTGCTGAAAGCTTCAGGCTTTCCCACCTCTGTATGAGTGTTTAAGTTTTAATTTAATCCTGAACTGTAACCCTAAAATTAGCAAGACTCACAAATATCCCTTGGAAAGGATGGAAAAGACTACCAGTTGATAAATACTTTCAGTCAATCAATGGAGAAAAGCAGAAGAGTCTAGGAATGCACCTGTGCCCATCGGGGTCGGGGTGAAGAAGCGATAGAAAGACAGAGACAGAGAGAGAGGAAAAGAAAGAGAGAAAAAAGAGACAGAGACAGAGGGAGGAAAGGAGAGGGAGTAGGGAGGAGAGAGAGAGACAGAGGGACAGAGACAGAGAGAGACAGAGAGACAGAGACAGAGAGAGACAGACAGAGAGGAAAAGAAAGAGAGAGAAAAGAAGAGAGACAGAGACAGAGGGAGGGAGGAAGGGAAAGAGGGAGAGAGAAACAGAGAGAGAGGGAGAGAGAGAGAGGAGAGAGGGAGAGAGAGAGGGAGAGAGAGAAGAGAGAGAAGAGAGAGGAGAGAGAGGGACAGAGAGAGGAGAGATGGAGAAGGAGAAGAAGAAAGAGGAAGAGAGATGGAGACTAAGACAGAGATGGAAAAAGGGCCTAAGATCCCTCACAAGCTTGTAGTTATGCTCTTTTGCACCTTCCAGTGTGATCAGGAAACATACTAGAGTCTTTATTCTTGCTCCCCATGTGGGATGGAGGTCATGGATACCCCTTCTCTATGTGAAGCTCTAATTAGTTTCATGGTTGTCTTTTTAATGAAAAAAAAAACCCAAACCAAAAACAAAACCATCTTAATTTTGAATCAAAGAAGTACAAAAGTTCAGACTTGTACAACCTCCCTGATACAACACAGGACTAACTGGGGCTCACTATTGCTATGACTGGGTAGCTAGGTGGCACAGTGGATAGAACACTGGGCATGGAGTCAGGAAGACCTGAGTTCAAATCCAGCCTCAGACACTTACTAGCTGTGTGACCCTGGGCAAGTCACTTAACCCTTTTTACCTCAGTTCCCTTATCTGTAAAATGAGAGGGAGAAGGAAATGACAAATCACTCCAGTATCTCTGTCAAGAAAACGTATCAAGGTCACAAAGAGTTGCACATGACTGAAACAACTAACCAAACTGTTCTGACTGAAGCCACATGAGGGAAAGGAGAATTATTATCCTTTCTCTCCAACCATAAGTCCAACAATGATGATGATGATGATAACAACTAACTTTTATATAATACTGACTTTTCTATAAAGTTTGAAAAGTCCTTCTCATACAACATCTTATTTGGACCTTACAAGAACTATATTAAGTAGTCACTGTAAGTATTATTATTGTTTTTTGACAGATGAGTAAACTGAGACTCAGGAAAGCTAAGTGATTTGATCATAGATGCACAGCCAATAAAGATGTGGGATTTGAGCCCAGGTCCAGCAGTCTAACTGCTGTGACACGCTGCCTCAAACAATCAGAAAGTAACTGAGCTTCAATCGCCAATTCTGATGCTGCCAAGGATGGCTAAATAGCCAGGCTCCTGACATCGGTGGTATGGGGAACCAATAATGATGGTCATTCTAATTTACATTCCTACAGCAACAAAGAATATTTGTTCAATCTTGACTCGGACTCTATGAACTAAATTATTTCTCCTGGGTAGCAATATATGCTGTCAAAATAACATAAATGATTAGTCAATGGATAGATGATGGGGTGATAAACTGCAATGAAACATCTTTGAAATTATATTAGAAACCCTATGAATTTTGAATGAATTAATTATTACTGCTGTTGTTAATAATAAATGCAAAATGAATTTAGAATGCTAGGACAATTAAAATAAGTGTTGTCTCATTTCCTACAGAAGTGAGTAATTATTATTTTTATTTATATGCTGCTGTCATAGCAATGACTGGATTGATGCCATATTTAAAGAATGTGTTTATCCAGCTGAAGATGATCAAGAAGAGAGAGCTATGTCCTTCTCCAGGAAAGTTTACTATAGAAATAATCAGAAGGTTTCATTAAGTTGGCTTTACTTTTAACAATACAAACCCCTATCAAAGACTTCTATGAGTTAAGTATCCCAGTGTATTATTACCACAATTTAATTTTCCATATATAAAATGGAAAATTTTAGTGCTTTTATTTCTTTCTACTTAATGAGTTTTTTTTACTGCCTTTTTTTAAATACCACAATCAGTTCTGGAAATTCCACACTCTTTCTCAATCCCTGGAATCAAATGTCCCCTTGTAAAGAAGTTTAAGTAAAAAACCCCTAATACAGTGACCAACTCTGATAATACAGGCATTATTCTGCTGGAGGAGGCCTCTCCTTGTCTGTTGAGGAGAGGAGGCATACTTCATTTCTGTGCTTTCCCCAAAGTCTTCCATTCACATGTTGTGACCAAATTTCTGTTTGTGAATGCCCAGAGGTTATTCTTAGCAATGAAAAAGACAGGTTTAAAAAATGCAATACAAACACGCCTGCGTGGGCGCGCACTCACATACACGCACAATGCAAACCCTAGGGACTCAGATCTATGTACTTTGAACCCCAAATAAATATCACCAGTGGAATAACTTACAGAAGAGCTGAGGCATCAAATCATCCCTCTAAACAAGGCC